ACAGGTAGTTTTCTCTGACGCTATGATTCCATTGTTAATCTGTCTGTCTCTTTTCTATGATAGAGATGGACTCGTTGTGTCATATTAAGAAAAAAAAAAATGACAACACGAGAGATGGTTGTCCGTGCACCACGGTTCGATGCCGTCCGCATGCTCCGGTTCCGCTGCTCCGGTGCCGCAGTTCCAGTGCCGCTGCTCCGGTGCCGCTGTGGCCAGTCCTAGCACGACCAAACTCGACCCGCTCCGCGTCGTACACGCTCTCATTGCTGTCCTTCCCAGTCGGTTCCTCGCTTTCTCCCTCGTTGCACTTAACGTTCTTGGTCTGAAAGTTCTCGCGCCGAACGGTCAACCAGCCCAATCAGCTCGTCACCACCTGTCCCCTCCTCCTTTGATGGCAAAACCAGTTACTGAGACAGTACAGCTTCCTCTAGCAAACCTAGGGCCGTGTACATAGTGCCCGTCCACCTTTCTGATGACGTCTGCCTCCGCGCACAAAGATGAGATGGGCATTGCTGCCTACACCGACGGCCTGGAGGCCCGCGCATCTGCACCTTTGTACCTGACGCACCAGTGCCGACCCAACTCCACCACTACGCACGCCTCGCGGCGGGTGCGCCGCAGCAAGAAGGTATCGGTCCCTTGAGGGCGAGTCTAGCCCTGCTCGCTAGAAACATCCCCAACACCATATTGGTGAATTTGAGAGCGAAGCATGAAATTGAGAGCGAGATTGCGCGATGCGCTGCAGCTGGACTACTGCTGAGAGGTGGAGCTTGCTGTGTAGCTTGAATTGAAGGGTCAGCCCGTAGCTATAAGGAGATACCCTGGTCATCCTGTGGGAGTCTCTCGATGTGGAGTTACAGCGGCGAGCAGAAGCTACAGCAGAGCCCACCCCCCGAGGCCACACCGCCCGGCAACAGTTTGAGGCAGGAATAGCCAATCTGGGGAAATCTAGCAACTTGTCTAGCTCCTAGCTGCAGCATCCGATGACGATGACACGCATATGCTCGTGACGCTGCTGATGAGACCTTTAATTTGCGCCGCCTTTCGGAAGAGCCCGCCCCCTACTTCCCAAGAAATGGCAAGAGGCGTCTGGACCCGAATTTTCATCTTTTGGCTCTCGGTCTCAATTTCATGCTTCGCTCTCAATTTCACCAATATGTTGTTCCCCCCCCTCGCTATGGGTCATGCCTACGCAAAACCTTGCCGAGGCAGCGAGGGGAAGAAAGAGACTCAATGGTAAATGACAATAACAATTGTTTATTGCTATTGTCATATGGTAATCTATACCATTGATTGCTCTATGTAAGTGCTGTATAGCCGAGGATGCTTGCCACTTGCCTGCAGCCCTTATCCCTCCACATCGGATGTTGGCAAGTCCATAGCTGTGAGCTTGTGTGCTGGTGACAAAAGAAGCAGCTCTAGTGAGCCCGCAGGGCTCTCACATTGGGCGAGCAGAGAAGCACGAGGTCGGGGTCTTCAAGCCCTCTCACTGATCATTGTCATTTCGAACTGAGGTGAAATTTTACGGGGAAAAAAGGGTAGTTTCGCCTAGGACGTGTCCTTTGAAGGTCTACAGCAGTACAAGCCTAAATAACCCGCTCTACTGGTCGCACCGCGACCACCCATCAACCCTTTTAATACCTTACGACGAGCTGTTTCCACCCTGTTGCGGGTTGCAACCATAGCCTAGACTACACCATTCTACGTAGACACCGACCGGTGTAAACAGCCGTAGTTTCCACAGCGCCGAGTGAGGAGGTCCTATGCATACGTGCGTACCGAATTCCCTCAAATCATGTTGGAGGCGTGCTCTTCACTCCGAAGAAAGGTTGGATGCCCCAACGAAGCGTCCGTCCGTGCGGCCCGGCTCTCCCAACTCTCACCCTATTCCTGATCAAACGGCTGAAAAGGCACGTAAATGTCTAAATGTCAAAATGTAGTGTCAAATACACAGCAGTTAAAGCGGATGATGATGCTGTGGTGAGCTCACAAGGTGGAAATCCTTGCCTTCCCTCTGCAGTCCGTACAGTCCAAGGTGGTAGTCAATAGCACCACGAGAATATAATATGGTTGGGAGTCTTTCCTTTTTTGGTGACACCCTTAAGAGTCACACACTCGCAGGTCGGAATCACTCTTGAGATACAAACACACCCGTGCTCTGTATCCACCTTCAACCAAAGCCTGGCACCTACCAGAAGAAGAGTCGAGCGTCCACACTGCACATTCCAACGCATCCAAAAACTTTAATAACACCTCATTCTCGGCGGTGTTGCCCTCCCTGGCTAATCGATTAAGGTGCCTGGACTCACAGGTAGACTATTTTATGTTCTCCCAAGTAAGTACAAAAACTATGCCAATTAGGTTCTAACAAAAGTCCGGGCAGTACTTATGGGACATAATGAGGGCGCGACACCGGTCGCTGTCCTCTCTCATCTAGAATCCAATTTTCACTTGGCTGGGGACCAACAAAGTCCGTTTCGAGATACCGAGACCTTAAATGGCAATGCAATACATCAACATTGAGGCAAAGTTAGTAGAGACTGCTAATTTTGGCCTGACTTCTATACAGGTTGCTTGACCCTTCTGCCCTAGCTTCTTTGTCTCCCCTGGTTTACGGGAACATCAACAACATCCTTCCTGCGTACGCCCGAACTCTCTGTAAAATTTTGCCCAGCATCTCCCCCCGCCCTGCAATAAGCGTCGTTGCTGCTCCTATTCTCAAATGGTGCAGACCAACATGCTTGCTGGGCTCTCAACCAACCGTCTCTACGATCTATCGAAGGGCATTGAGGGCCCTGTGATATCATCCCCACACCTACCTTACTATCTACGCCTGCACCGACGCGAACACAGGGGGGGTACTCTCAAGCTCTCAAGCAAGGGGAGGTGGCACGTCATCAATTCCACCCGAAAACGACCACGCGCCCGCTGTCGGTGCCTACCCCCAGAGCGCTTGCCTCGTTCTACGGTTCCTAGCAAATCGCCCCTCCGTTCGTAGATAAGGAAATACCCGGGACGCTTTTGTTTCGGGGGGACGGGGGCGGGGGGAAGGGGTGACATGATGAAACGCGCGCGCTCCAGACATCCAGGGAAAGTCTCATATACATATTGAGCGAGAGATTTGGGGACAAGTTGGATCACGATTGAATCACGCGCCACTCCGAAGGCACACGCATTTCCTCTATCGGGTGGCTCAAGCTTGGTCGTCCCGACCAACAGCTTCCGCTGCCGCCAACGCCGGCGCGCCCTTCCTCCCCTTGAATTGCTTAACTTGATACCGAATGGTCGGCCAACCGAAGAGCTTCCTCATCCACAGGGGCGCGTCGTACTTCTCTATGCCCTCATACCCCATCGACGAGTAGAGCCCGGTCGCAGCGGGATCGCCCAGGTCCACATGGAGGTACATGCGTTCGTACCTATATTCGGCCGAAAAACATTCAGGGTGGGGTGATTGTTGGTAGGGTTCGAAAACTTCTATTGTGGGAAACACGGAATACAAATGCGGCAGGGGTGGGCTAGAGGGGGGGAGAGCCCAACGCGAGATAGGTGCAAGCCGGGGTGGGGTGGGGGGCGCAACCATCGGCAACACAACAGGCCGCAACGACGAATTTTAGGTAGATCCTCCGAACAAAACAAATCTTGGCTAATCGATGCCCGCATGGGAAAACACAGCTCTGCTGTATCGCAATTCTGAACAAAAGGCAGGCTAGATGCGCCATGCCACCAGTTATCATTCGCTTCGAAGCGTGTTTGACTTGCAGCAGGGGCGAAGTTCCCCCTCCAGGATTTCGCCGCTTACGAAAAGGCTAAGTGTTGTATGCAATACCGATAAAATCGAGAAACCTAGTGCCCAGTTCCTCCCACTCACCCCCAACTGTTTTTCGCCACGTGCTCGCAGAGCCGCACCAGCTGCTTTCCGTACCCATTCCCTCGGTACTCCTCCGCAACAGCTAGGTTGCACATGTACGGCTGCCATTGCTCGGGTGGCTTCTGAAAAAAACAACAAACAAACGGGTGCGAAGGGCGAGCTCACGTCATTCAGGCCCGTGCTGCATCGATACCTGAAGTCACAAGCTTTTTGTTGATGACATTGGTGTCTTTGCGACAAAAAACACCCCTACCTCAAGCTCTAAGTCTTCCGCACGAATCACTCCCGGTCTGACACCAATCTCCGTCTTCGCAGGCTAACAAAGAGTTAAAATACGCGGAATAAAAACAATAGTTATAGAGGACATACGCTCTACAAGGCGATGGCCACCAGACTGAGCCAACGCGAACAAGCCATGCATAAGACAGTTTGAACATTGAACCCCCGCTACATGTAAACGGCCTGGTGGCGATTGTGCAAAATCACACTGGAACGGGGGGAAGGTCTGGCAATAGCTAGTAGTTTGCTTAGCTCTGAATAGAGCAATGGCACGATGAGATCCCGTGCCTTGAGATCTCGTACACTACGTCAAGAGCGTTCCATATAAGGATGCGAATATCACTGCAGCACATGCAGCGTACGCTACTACTTAGTAGTGCTGCAACATGCTACATGTACGATGTTTACCCTCAGAGAAGGATCGATTGCCTCTCACTCGACGGCGGTGCTGCTGCGCGCCAATTGCTCTTATGCAGATCGCGGGTTGCAGCCAGAATTACCCCCCGCCACTCTTCGTTCACTTGTCGCGCCGTTACCATTCAAACACCAGAAAAAAAACACAGTACAAGCACCATACGTCCCGCCGAGGAGACCGTTCCCACTCATCATGGAACGCACCTCTCTTCGCCAAGGTGCAGGGAAGGGCCAGTTCAACGGTAGCGAACCGTCCGGCTTCCGTATCGTCAGTTCTACCACCGCCACCACTTGTCCGGCGCCACAGCCACCGCCACCACCAACTCCACCATCGGCATCGCCGTCCTGCGTGGCGGGCGTTGATGATGACTTCCCGCTGGTACAGGGTGGGCCCCGCACGGCTAGGACGAGGGCATCGCTGCTGCGGTCGAAGTCCCCGCGCGTCAGGCGGTTGCCACATCGCGACCTCAACGAGTACAGTATCTGGGATTGTGTGTCGAGCGGCATGAAAAGAAACAAGTAAGAATACGAGCAAGAAGGCGCGCTGGTGAACAAATTATCTATCATCCATACGGCAACGTCTGGGCTCGTGGTGAGTGTGCGAGGGACCCTTTCGAGATACTTGGTTACAGACGATTCGACACATGTACATACATAGAGATTTTTCCTAATGACGCGAACAACAGAAAATGGCGCGGACCCTGTGAAGGCAATCACGAGTGCGGGAAGGGGGGGGGGGGCGTACTCTTATGTTTTGCATGCCTTAGCGGTTAGACCATTGACCGCGCCCTCGAGAGGACGGAGCATTGTTCCCACAGGACCGATCACCGATGGCCAATCGTTCCTTTCTACTTTGCCAAACGCGCCTCAAATATGTCTTCCCTAGTCTGTCTATCCTAACGATATCCCTTCCCGCCTTTTCAACCCACCTCCTATGCCCCACTTTAGCTACCGTCCTTTCCTCTCTATTCCATGCCTCAAACATCTCCCTGTACGTCCCATATATTTTTCCCAGCTCAGTCACGTACACTTCCCTCTCCTTGCACAACGGACATTACGCGACTACAAGAACACGGTCTTCGCATTTGAAGCCGCAATCACATTTGCACTCGTCGTCTACTGTCCTATGTCTTCGTCGACGTTCTCGAAGGTCTATGTCCCCGGTCCTGAATTTGA